TCTAAAACAATATGAATTTTCATTGAAAAAACTAAAACTGAAATCTTTCAGTTTAAAACCAAAACTTTTTTTGTTTTTGTTGAATGCAAAAATTTAATCACAAAGTTCCATTTTCTTGAAGAAATTTCAACATGCTTTATTCAGGGATAAGAGGGAAGGTCCTCTCATGGTTCAATACCTAGTTAAAAAGATAGGAAACAAATGGTAGGACTCAATGGTCAGTTTTCATAATGGAAAGTGGTAAATACTGGAGTCCCCCAAAGATGTGTACTGGGACCTGTGCTGTTCAACATTCATAACTGATCTGGAAAAGGTGGAGGACAGTGAGTTGTCAAAGTTTGCCAACAATACAAAATTACTCAGGATAGTTAAGTCCAAAGCTGATTGTGAAGAATTGCAAAGGAATCTCACAAACCTGGGTGTATTGTGAAAGGCAGATGAAATTCAATGCTGATAAATGCAAAGTGATGCACCTGGGAAAACATAATCCCAATGACACACATAAAATGATGGGGTCTACAATAGCTGTTATCACTCAGGAAAGAGATCTTGGTGTCATTGTGGATAGCTTTCTGAAAACATCTGCTTAACATGTAGCAGCAGTCAAAAAAGCTAACAGAATGTTTGGAACCATTAGGAAAGGGATAGATAAAAAGACAGAAAATATCATAATGCCACTATATAAATCCATGGTATGCCCACATATTGAATACTGCGTGCATTTCTGGTCACCCTATCTCAAAACAGGTATTAGAACTGGAAAATGTACAGAGAAGGGTAACAAAAATGATTAGGGATATGGAACAGTTTCCATATGAGGAGAGATTAAAAAGACAGATTGTTCATTTTAGAAAAGAGAGACAACTGGGGGGGGGGGTTATGATAGATATCTATAAAATCATGAATGGTGTGGAGAAAACATGTTATTTACCCCTTCAGATAACACAAGAACCAGAGGTCACTAAATGAAATTAATAGGCAGCAGGTTTAAAACAAACATAAGGAAGTACTTCACACAATGCACAATCAGCCAGTGGAACTTGTTGCCAAGAGATGTTTTGAAGGCTGAAAGTATAAATGGGTTCAAAAAAGAATTATATAAGTTCATAGAGGACAGGTCCATCAGTGGCTATTACCCAGGATGGTCAGGAACGCAACCCCATGCTCTGGGTGTCACTAAACCTCTGACTGCAAGAGGCTGGAACTGGACAACAGGGGATGAATCACTTCATAATTGCCCTGTTCTGTTCCTTTCCTCTAAAGCATCTGGCCACTGTCAGAAGACAGGATACTGGGCTAGACTGTAGCCCAGTAGGCTAGCTTACTTTTATTATATTCACTGCTTTGCATTATATGTTGCTTTGCATTATATTCAGCAATAATGCAAGAAATCTACAGACCTGTATCCTGTAAGACATTAGCTTCAGCAAGTTAGCATAAGGCTTGAGGCCTACAAACTTTGCGCACGTAAACGGCCCAACAGAAAACCAAGTATTTTGGGAGCTGAAAATAGAGTTTAAGGGGAAGTTCTGACCGTGGGTATGAGAGTGAACCACAGAAGTGTCCTGGCAATGAACTGATGTACATAACAGGTACATGAGATACATCTAAGGCTAGCCTGTTTGTTTGCCTATATATCTTTTCTTATGAGTTTGCTTATTTGTTTCATTATAATAGGTTTATATTGGAGTATATTTTGGCTGTAATGCAGGGGGACCTACAGGCCACATCCTGTATGTTGAGCTAAGGCAAAGTTAGCATACATATATTTGGGACCTTTGACCTAGACAGATGGTAATGAGTTAAAGCATAACGTCCATATATGGATGTGACATTTAACATAGAGAATGTGTTGAAGTAGGTTGGCACAGGGGGCTTCCTAAGTTCAAAGCCTTTTAAACTTAACAGGTGCATCACAACTTGGAAAAAACTGAAATAACCGGTTAGGACAGAAATAACCAATACCTAACCACAAAAGGGCCATGGTAACAAATTGACTGACGTATATGATAATAAGTTGAGATCACTGATTAACCTCTAGGAAAAAGACACTCCAACATTAGTAAGGGGAGGAAATACAAATAAGAGAAAGGGGAAAAATCCCCTACTGAATATGCATCAAACATAACAGCATCAGCGACGCATATTATAAAAGTGGCATCACAGCCTTGGGGCAGTAGGAGAGAGAGATGTAGTCCTTGGGAGGTGCCAGAACGATGGCGACTGGTGATGGAGAAGGTGATGGTGATGAGGAAGATGATGGCTAACATTTCAGGTTGTTCTGCAGGAGATGATGTGAGTATATGGATGTGCAGATGTACGTTCTGTAGTATCTCTATCTCCCTCACTGAGTGGGGGTGCTTGTGACTGTAATAAATGTATTAAAAAAACATATTTGTAAATATAAAAAAATTCCTATAGTGACTGTGCACATCAGGGTTCCCAACTATATAATAATTTAAATACTGGGCCTGATCTTGGGGCAAGAACCTGTCAACCCTCAAAGTGATAACAGGGGATTCTTAAGTAATCAATATAATTAATACATAATCTAAAGTTTAGGCAACAAGATGGACCATTGGTCTGACCCATTATGGACATACTTATGTTCACCATGCAAAATCAAGCCCATAGTGCATCTGATTATGATGCTTCTTTAGGGAGAACGACAAGGGTATAAATAGTCTCAGTTGCTCAAAACACAAAGTTAATCCAACCAAAAGTAAATACACATTTTTTTCTTAATTGACTCTTTAACTGTGCCTGTGTAGATCCAGGCACCACAGTAATGTGTCAGCTTGGGAGAGTGAAAGGTCTGTTCCTCCCAAAGGGCATCTGAGCTAACATTTCATAAATTACGTTTCTGTTTTCCTTTTCTGTTGATACTTTCATTTCATTCAAAGGTCATTTTTTAAAACCAGAAGAATATGGTGGAAGCAGCTTGTTTCTGAACGCTTGAAGTTTACAGTCACTCCTTTAGTGATGAGAATTATAAAACTTTATCATGATTATTGATGTATATAGCAGTAAGTGCACAGATGGTGGATTTTCAGTCCCTGAGGGGTCATATATTGGAGTATGCAAAACTGGGGAAGCAGAAGTCATTGGTCTACACACACACACACACACACACACACGTGGCTACCTAGCTATCAGGCAGGTAGGCTAACATTTCAAAACATGGGTGCCTAAAGTTATGCCTAAATATGGATTTAGGACCATGTAGATGGCTCTCCTGTCCCTATCCTGGTGAACTGAGAGGACAGCAGGCTTAGATTACTCCAAGACCATTGCGAATTCCACCCTAGAAAGGAAGAAGCACCACTTTGACCATGCAGGAAGACAAAGGTGACCCAAAATATCTAGATTGCTCTATGACCCTGGTATTAATTAATGTCTTTTCTACTGTGATACCAACTATCTGAAACCAGCAAAGCCAGAGCTTATCTAAGACACTCCTGGTTGAAGAGTACAGTATAGAGAGTTGTCATTTTTGCACCCACCTCTGGCAGCCTGGGATGAGAGATCAGTGAATGGTTAATTCACTTTACAAGTTAATAAAAAAGGATATTGTTACTCTGGCTGTTACCATAACTAAACTGAGAAGGTTTTCATGGCTATGTTAGATGGTGTCAGAGGCTTAATATTAATTAAATAGCAGATTTAAGGTTATCACTCATATCCGCAGCTGTGATCTGAATTATTGCTTGATGATATTACACTTTTTATTTGCTTGCTGCCTTTGATTGATTATTTGTATTTGCTGGGTTATAAAGTGCCATATATAGCTTCTGGAATGGAGCTGTTTTGATTCTAACTACATTACATTCTCTGGTCAGATGATTGATTGGGTCTTCTGAGCTTGCCATAAATACTAGCCCATCTCTGCTAGCCTGATATGTATCTATAGCCATATTCACTCATCAGTGTATCCTGTATTCAATCATCCCTGTATTCATTTCTCCTGATATTATTATTAGCCTCAGGGAAGTTGTTTCATAGGCTATTTAGTTTGAATTAAGCATGTACGTCAGTCATTTCTTGTTCTTAATAGCACATAGATAGGATTCAAGCCTGGATCCAGCCCTTTGACTAGTTTTGATCTTCCATGCTCCATATCCAAGTTATTTTATTATTATTAAAATAGGTGTTGGGTACTTTTCTGAAACTTCTCACAAGATTCCTGACATACTTTTATTAGAAAGGCTTGAAATCAAGCTTGTTGTTCACCTGATTCTGTAATTTCTGAAGACTCCCCGGTTTAGTCAGATATTGTATGAACAGGAAAACAAATTTTCACCAAAAGTCCCTAGCCCCTAACCCAAAATAATTACTAGGCTCCACTTGATCTGGTTTATATTCTTTAGGCCAGATTCTGTTGTCATTTAAAGTTTGCCTATACAAACTGTATTTACTCCTGATTTACAACAATGCAAGGTCTATGAATATGGACTAAAATAACCAACAGTGTGAATTAAAAGCAATTTACTTTTCTCTTATTTGAGGGTCCTATTTCGATTTTGCTTCCAGCTTCAATAAAATTGAGAAGTAACACAAAGACCGGCACCTTGGCCCTGGTCTACACTAGGACTTTAGGTCGAATTTAGCAGCATTAAATTGATGTAAACCTGCACCCGTCCACACGATGAAGCCCTTTATTTCGACTTAAAGGGCTCTTAAAATCAATTTCCTTACTCCACCCCTGACAAGTGGATTAGCGCTTAAATTGGCCTTGCCGGCTCGAATTTGGGGTACTGTGGACACAATTCGATGGTATTGGCCTCCGGGAGCTATCCCAGAGTGCTCCATTGTGACCGCTCTGGACAGCACTCACAACTCAGATGCACTGGCCAGGTAGACAGGAAAAGAACCGTGAACTTTTGAATCTCATTTCCTGTTTGGCCAGCGTGTCAAGCTGCAGGTGACCATGCAGAGCTCATCAGCAGAGGTGACCAAGATGGAGTCGCAGAATCGTAAAAGAGCTCCAGCATGGACCAAACGGGAGGTACGGGATCTGATCACTGTATGGGGAGAGGAATCCGTGCTATCAGAACTCCGTTCCAGTTTTCGAAATGCCAAAACCTTTGTCAAAATCTCCCAGGGCATGAAGGACAGAGGCCATAACAGGGACCCGAAGCAGTGCCGCGTGAAACTGAAGGAGCTGAGGCAAGCCTACCAGAAAACCAGAGAGGCGAACGGCCGCTCCAGGTCAGATCCCCAAACATGCCGTTTCTATGATGAGCTGCATGCCATTTTAGGGGGTTCAGCCACCACTACCCCAGCCGTGTTGTTTGACTCCTTCAATGGAGATGGAGGCAATACGGAAGCAGGTTTTGGGGACGAAGAAGAAGATGATGATGATGATGACGTTGTAGATAGCTCACAGCAAGCAAGCAAGCGGAGAAACCGGTTTTCCCGACAGCCAGGAACTGTTTCTCACCCTGGACCTGGAGCCAGTACCCCCCGAACCCACCCAAGGCTGCCTCCTGGACCCAGCAGGTGGAGAAGGGACCTCCGGTGAGTGTACCTTTTAAAATACTATACATGGTTTAAAAGCAAGCATGTGAAAGGATTACTTTGCCCTCGCATTCGCGGCTTTCCTGGATGTACTCCCAAAGCCTTTGCAAAAGGTTTCTGGGGAGGGCAGCCTTATTGCGTCTTTCATGGTAGGACACTTTACCACTCCAGGCCAGTAACACGTACTCAGGAATCATTGTACAACAAAGCATTGCAGTGTATGTTTGCTGGCGTTCAAACAACATCCGTTCTTTATCTCTCTGTGTTATCCTCAGGAGAGTGAGATATCATTCATGGTCACCTGGTTGAAATAGAGTGCTTTTCTTCAGGGGACACTCAGAGGAGCCCATTCCTGCTGGGCTGTTTGCCTGTGGCTAAACAGAAATGTTCCCCGCTGTTAGCCACAGGGAGGGGGTAGCCACGCGGTGGGGGGAGGCAAAATGCAACCTTGTAACGAAAGCACATGTGCTATGTATGTAATGTTAACAGCAAGGTTTACCCTGAAAGAGTGTAGCCATTGTTTTATAAAATGTGTCTTTTTAAATACCGCTGTCCCTTTTTTTTTCTCCACCAGCTGCATGTGTTTCAATGATCACAGGATCTTCTCCTTCCCAGAGGCTAGTGAAGCTTAGAAAGAAAAAAAAAACGCACTCGCGATGAAATGTTCTCCGAGCTCATGCTGTCCTCCCACACTGACAGAGCACAGACGAATGCGTGGAGGCAAATAATGTCAGAGTGCAGGAAAGCACAAAATGACCGGGAGGAGAGGTGGCGGGCTGAAGAGAGTAAGTGGCGGGCTGAAGACAGGGCTGAAGCTCAAATGTGGCGGCAGCGTGATGAGAGGAGGCAGGATTCAATACTGAGGCTGCTAGAGGACCAAACCAGTATGCTCCAGTGTATGGTTGAGCTGCAGCAAAGGCAGCTGCAGCAAAGGCAGCTGGAGCACAGACTGCCACTACAGCCCCTGTGTAACCAACCGCCCTCCTCCCCAAATTCCATAGCCTCCACACCCAGACGCCCAAGAACAAGGTGGGGGTGCCACCGGCCAACCAGCCACTCCGCCACAGAGGATTGCCCAAAAAACAGAAGGCTGGCATTCAATAAGTTTTAAAGTTGTAAACTTTTAAAGTGCTGTGTGGTATTTTCCTTCCCTCCTCCACCACCCCTCCTGGGCTACCTTGATAGTCATCCCCCTATTTGTGTGATGAATGAATAAAGAATGCATGAATGTGAAGCAACAATGACTTTATTGCCTCTGCAGGCGGTGATTGAAGGGAGGAGGGGCAGGTGGTTAGCTTACAGGGAAGTAGAGTGAACCAAGGGGCGGGGGGTTTCATCAAGGAGAAACAAACAGAACTTTCACACCGTAGCCTGGCCAGTCATAAAACTGGTTTTCAAAGCTTCTCTGATGCGTACCGCGCCCTCCTGTGCTCTTCTAACCGCCCTGGTGTCTGGCTGCGCGTAACCAGCAGCCAGGCGATTTGCCTCAACCTCCCACCCCGCCATAAATGTCTCCCCCTTACTCTCACAGATATTGTGGAGCACACAGCAAGCAGTAATAACAGTGGGAATACTGGTTTCGCTGAGGTCTAAGCGAGTCAGTAAACTGCGCCAGCGCGCCTTTAAACGTCCAAATGCACATTCTACCACCATTCTGCACTTGCTCAGCCTGTAGTTGAACAGCTCCTGACTACTGTCCAGGCTGCCTGTGTACGGCTTCATGAGCCATGGCATTCAGGGGTAGGCTGGGTCCCCAAGGATACATATAGGCATTTCAACATCCCCAACAGTTATTTTCTGGTCTGGGAATAAAGTCCCTTCCGGCAGCTTTTGAAACAGACCAGAGTTCCTGAAGATGCGAGCATCATGTACCTTTCCCGGCCATCCCACGTTGATGTTGGTGAAACGTCCCTTGTGATCCACCAGAGCTTGCAGCACTATTCAAAAGTACCCCTCGCGGTTTATGTACTCGCAGGCTTGGTGCTCCGGTGCCAAGATAGGGATATGGGTTCCGTCTATGGCCCCACCACAGTTAGGGAATCCCATTGCAGCAAAGCCATCCACTATGACCTGCACATTTGCCAGGGTCACTACCCTTGATATCAGCAGATCTTTGATTGTGTGGGCTACTTGCATCACAATAGCCCCAACAGTAGATTTGCCCACTCCAAATTGATTCCCAACTGACCGATAGCTGTCTGGCGTTGCAAGCTTCCACAGGGCTATCGCCACTCGCTTCTCAACTGTGAGGGCTACTCTCATCTTGGTATTCATGCGCCTCAGGGCAGGGGAAAGCAAGTCACAAAGTTCCATGAAAGTGCCCTTACGCATGCAAAAGTTTCGCAGCCACTGGGAATCGTCCCAGACCTGCAACACTATGCGGTCCCACCAGTCTGTGCTTGTTTCCCGAGCCCAGAATCGGCATTCCACAGTATCACAGTATCACAGCATGAACCTGCCCCATTAGCACCATGATGCATGCATTGGCAGGGTCCATGCTTTCAGAGAAATCTGTGTTCATGTCCTGATCTCTCACGTGACCACGCTGACGTCGCCTCCTCGCCCAGTATCGCTTTGCCAGGTTCTGGTGCTGCATATACTGCTGGATAATGCGTGTGGTGTTTAACTCCTAATTGCCAAAGTGAGCTGAGCGGCCTCCATGCTTGCCTTGGTATGGTGTCCGCATAGAAAAAAGGCACGGAACGATTGTCTGCCTTTGCTCTGACGGAGGGAGGGGCGACTGACGACACGGCTTACAGGGCTGGCTTCAGGGAGCTAAAATCAACAAAGGAGGTGGCTTTACATCAAGGAGTATTTCAGGCAGGACTTCACGGAGGGTTCCAATAAGAAATGGTGCACCTAAGTTATTGTTCTTATTGGAACAAGGAGGTTAGCCTGGCCTCTGATTGATACATGGCTAGATTTACCAAATCTGGTCTATTTCTTGTTTTGATCCACTCCAAACATCTTTTACATCTTTGGCTAGCAGCAGACAGTGCAGAAGGACTGCATGCCATCCACATCTCATAGCTGCTCGGCAGAAGATGGTACAGTACGACTGCTAGCAATCCGTATCGCCTGCCTGCTCACCATAAGACGGTTCAATAGGACTGACTGCAGGACTAAAGAGAATGACCTGGTCAAGTCACTCCAAATTTAGTCCCTGCGCCCATGTCTGCCCAGGCGCTCCCAGCTGACGTGGCCAGGAGCACCTCGGACACGACGAGGACAGCTACCAGTCCTATTGTACCGTCTGCTGCCAGAAGGCAATGGGTTGCTGCTACTGTGTAGCAATGCCGTACCGCATCTGCCAGCACCCAGGAGACATACGGTGATGGTTACCTGAGCGGGCTCCATGCTTGCCGTGGTATGGCGCCTGCACAGGTAACTCAGGAAAAAAGGCGCGAAACGATTGTCTGCCCTTGATTTCACGGAGGGAGGGAGGGAGGGAAGGGGGGCCTGATGATATGTACCCAGAACCACCCGCGACAATGTTTTAGCCCCATCAGGCATTGGGATCTCAACCCAGAATTCCAATGGGCAGTGGAGACTGCGAGAACTGTGGGATAGCTATCCACAGTGCAACGCTCTGGAAGTCGACTCTAGCCTCGGTACTGTGGAAGCACTCCGCCGAGTTAATGCACTTAATGCACTTAGAGCATTTTCTGTGGGGACACACACACTCCAATATATAAAACCGATTTCTAAAAAAACGACTTCTATAAATTCGACCTTATTCCGTAGTGTAGACATACCCTAAAACTCTGAATTAAAAGCAATTTTGTTATTTCAGTGCATGTTGGTATGCAGAACAGATCTGACATTGATGTAAATCAGGACTGAATACACTAAAGTCACCAAAGCTGGTTTAAGGGCAAGATAAGGCATACCCTGCATATTACCATGTTACTGCCTAATGTCCCCATGTACTATACTCAGATTCCTGTTTTTCTAGATTATGTCCCCTAGTTGTTCAATCCTTTGCAGCCCAGCCTTATCTTTATACCAACAAAGTTAGCATCCAGAGCTATATTTCTCCACAGCAGGAGGCTGTAGATCTAAGTTAGCTCAGGTCCATCTTTAGGCGGTGTACTGTACGAAGTATTTCACTTATCTTCTTCCCACAGAAAAACTCATCTGCTTTTCCTCTATGATTAGCATGTTGGGACTTTGTCCATATGCAGCCTTTACATTAAAACTTTCAGCTAAGGTTTTCTGAGGTTCTGATGAGTCTGGATAACCTTTTTCCAGCTTAATGCATGTTTCTTTTTTCACATTCCTCTGCTTCCAGACCAGAAGCAGAACCACCAAATCAGGAACACATCAATAGTCAATCGAGTCTGGTATCCTGTCTCAAACTGTGGCTAGTACTAGAATCTTCAGCAGAAGATCTAAATCATCCAAAATTGACCGCATGAAAGGTGGTGCTGATGGTAGTGGTAGCCCAAGTTAAACCAGGAAGTGCCAAAACCTACTTAAGAAAAGCTGTTCTGAGATTCTTATTGTATAGCCAAGAACAGTGGTTGGTTCAGTAAAGCATCAGAGCCTCTAGGATATTCTTCAAAACCTAGGCTCAGAACCACTCTGAGGTTCCCTCATCATGATATTGAATACATGAAGAAGCTGCTTTGTCAATTTGTTACAAGTGCACACTGCTTTGAACGAAACATGAGACAACACTCAATCATGTGTCTTCTTTCCCTTTCATCTCTCTCCACCCTTGCTCCCCGCAAATGACTCACAGAGCTTCTTTTGGGGGACTTCTTTAGTAACTGGCATTCTTTATGATTGAAGGAAAGGATGGTATTGCCTCTCCCTCCATCCCTGCATTAGAGGTGAAATGAGTCATCCTTTGCTATTTCTGGAGTCAGAGGCATGAAGCCTGCAGATTTCTCTGCTGCTGCTGCTGACAATTGAGAGGTCATGTCGTAAGCAGAGGGTGGGGGGAAATCAAAACTAAATGTAGTCATGTATATATGTGGTAAATCTGTGCAAAATTCAGTGGTTTCTCCTTGTTATGATTCATACAAGTTTTTGCACGGTTTCAGTTCCTATGGGTTCTTACTGTGAATTTTGCTTTGAATTTCTGGTTTAAACTAAAATGAGATGTCTCAACGACACCGAAAATCCCACCATCTTGGAGCATTAGGATGCAATATGGCAGGCCCCAATGAAATTCAAAACCATTTGGTGGGCAGCACACACAAGACCAAGCCATATATTAGCCATGTTCCCACACACAGCTATGGACCTGCAAAAGTAGAAGGTTATAGTATGATTTGGGGAACTTGAGTAAAACACTGTTTGGTCCCATCTGCACGGAAAGATCAAACCATGTCAAACGATTATCATGTCTGAACTTGGTTCCCACAACAAATGTAAGGATTAGAATGTAGATGGGACTGAAGTCTCAGAGGTGAACTCAACTAAAACCAGAAGGTTTCACCTGCTTTCGGGACAAAGCCACCATTTTTTGCATATTTATTTTCCATCAATCTGACTAGAGTTTCCAGTTTGTATGGACACCTGAAACTGGGTGCATTTTGCTTTGGGGCAAAAGTTTTGCCTAGTTCCAGTACAGGGGCTTTTCAGGGTGCGTGTAAGCCACCAAACCTACTTCTTCTCCCATCCACCCACCCCCTTCTGCTGTGCAAATAAAGAATATTAGGGACCAAGTTGAGCACCTAAAAATTGGGGGACCTACACTTGAAAAGTCAGGCCTAAGTAACTGGTTGACACCACATAGCAAATCAATGACTAAGTCCTTAGCAGAACCCAGATCAACAGCTTGCCAGTCCAGCATCCCATCCACTGGACCACACTGCCTCCTTCTAAAACCACGTGGCTCTGAATTTAAGTATCTACATTGTAGTTAAGAAGCTGTTTCTGTTAAGAAGCTGTTAAGAAACTCTGCTCCTGTGGAACCAAGAG